AACAACACACAGTACACCACAAACTGTACTAATTTACACCCAACACCCACGAGTGACTCACTGCAGGCGAAAGTTAAACTTGCCTTTTGTACATCGTCTTAATCATCAATATTATTACCCTAAAAAAGAATTGAACGAAACCTTTTATTGGTTTTCGGGATTTAATTACAGCAACTTTGAGAGGAATGATATGGGGTTCCACTAACTCTGAACAGCTGAAATTACGCACAATGTAAAGTATAATACATCTTTTGATGAACCTCCTATTGCTGGGTCTAGAGTCCTCAATCTTGCTGTTCACTGGCCCTCAAAAGTGTGACCGGTCGGTATGATTGCCCGTAAAATTTGCACGACGATAGAAAGGAATCTTTAAAATTCAATACACCACTTGACATTTCATTCCAAAAAAGTACTTAAGTCTAGTTTTCTATTATGATAGAAACCTCAAAATCTCCAAATCCAAGAAATCGGAACAGTATTTCCGTGGTAAAATCGAAATTTTTATCCATCTCTTCGATGACCACTTTGCTCGCCATTTTGAAAGTTACTGACGCGAGACGTAACGTCATACTGGCAGGCGGAGTGTACCACAGATTTCCTTGGAGACACCCCGTTGTCGGGCAAGTTTCTGTAAGCTACCCGTTGATTCACTACTCCACATAGGGAAAATTGCTTGTTAACGGACTGAGTCTTATTCCCCCAAAGTGATTTTTGTCTGGCAAATCATTTCAAAGAGTTGTGAATGATAACGGCGTGTATGGCAAACCCTCCAATTGTTTATATATTACAAAGTTATACGCCTCTTGTAACTTCATCAGCGCTTAATAACGAGTGTCTTAATTGGTTCATATCTTTCAAAATAGCTGTACACAGAATGTTACTGAACACACGCAACGCAAAAGAGAATCGAAGTATGACTGTACAATAAGGGACCAGTCATAATTTAATTTGGAGGAGGGGGTGGAGGAGAAACTGCTTTTTATCCCAAATTATTTCCAGACCCCTACTACTAGCACCCATGTTTTTTAGGTACCCCCCTTTAAGCATGTTAAAAGATTTAAGGGCCCCCCTTTCTTACATAATACCCAAATGGTAATAGCAAATAACATTTTCTTTCTCACTGTCACTTCCGAATGTGCCAACTAACAAGCACTTCACACTAAACTGAGAAAGAGATTTCACCTAGAGCCTCTCAAACAGCCTATAGAGCAAGGATATATCAGTTATTGTGTTATAATTGAGATAAGACAAGCAATCGAAAGGTTAGAGGCCGACAAGACCGCTTCAAGGAAGAAAGAAGATAATCAGCCAAAACTTACTGCTTTTTATATGAGCAGTACATGCTCTTATAGCAAAAAACTTGACAGTGACACAGACAGTGAGTCCACATCAACCTCATCTACAAATAATGATTCGGATTTAGTGAGATTGCATAACATGAGTTTATGCATGTAATCATTTGTTAAAATGCCGATGAAATTGTTTCAGTGTTACACAATAATGGATGTTGTGTTGATGCACCTACTATTTGAGCATTAAATTTTTTTGTCAAAATGCTGATTAAATTGCTTTAGTATTACACAATATAGGACTTTGTGTAAAACTGAATCAAAATCAGGTCCTTTAATACTCAAGCATCATGCTGCTCAGTAGGGATGCTACTTAAAAGAAACTTGAAGACCCCCCCCCAAGGTCATCTTTTGGCATTTTAAGGGGCCCCCCCTGTAGCCACTTGTCCATACATTACTAACGGCCTCACAAGTTATACCTTTTACGCTACAGGCGAAACACGCTCCATCACTTCACACATTACTTGTAACACTAAAAATGTGATCTACATGGTTCTATGTAACCGTTGTAATTTACAATATATAGGTGAAACTAAGCGACGTCTCAAGGACAGATTTAACGAACACAGACGTGCAGTCGACAAAACTAACATTAAATCTAAACCCACTACTGTTTCTGAACACTTTCTCTCTCACTCTAACCATTCTCATACTGACATGCAGTTAATCCTACTAGAGAAAATTTATTCTTCACGTGACTCAGTTCGTAAGGCCAGGGAGTCGCATTTGATAGATAAGGCCATGACTCTTGAACCTCATGGCCTAAACCGCCGTGACGAATTATTGTAATCCATATCCTTAGTATTTTTCCTTTCCAGTTTTTATGTTGTACGTCATTTCCGCCTCTCCCTTTTATTGCGACATTCTCCATTTATATAATATTGTGATTGCTACATAAGTTCAGTAACCTGAAGAAGGCTGGTATGGCCAGCCGAATATAAAAGACAATATACGTTGTTTTAAATCAGCTCTGCAGTAGTCTACTTGTTTTTGGTTCTTTATATTTTGGCTGATTTGATCCCTTTTCTAGAGATCCAACGTTTACAACTAGCAGGATCTTCGTCCACGGTTTTTGCAGCTAATTTAATCCTTCTGATTCCAATGTCGTTCAGAGCTTTTGTAGTAATATATTGTGCGACAATGTGTCGAAAGCTTTAGTGAAATCGACAAACAGAATTCCTACATAAAGCTTTTTTTCTACTGCTTCTTTCCACCTCTCTTTTAGGGACGGACCATTAGAAAACTTATGGGGGGCGGGCGAAGTACAAAAAAAAAAATTCGCGCAAGGGAAAATTAAATGAAAAAAAATTCTTGCACGCCAGTTAACCCTACAAAATATTCATGCTATGGCGTAAAAAAAATTCATACAAGGAATTTGATAACGAAAAAAAATTCCTGCGGCTCGAAAATTCCCCTCCCCCCCCCATAACTTTTCTAATGGTCCGTCCCTTAGGTGAATTAAAAGCTGTTCTATTGACTTTCTCTTCCTATAAGCCCAATTGTCTGTTATCAAGCAAATTTTGCGTGACCACGCGATTAGTGATATCACTTGCGATGCAGGATTCCATTAATTTACTTGGTATCCTGAGCTTAGATAGTAGTCTGTATCATGTAATGTCTTCCTCTCGTCCTTTTTGAACGCTGCACTGACTCTAGCTATTTTCCACTGGTCTGGTGGCTTGCAGGTATCAACACTGTGTTTAAACAAGCTCGTGAGAGATGGGGCAATAGACATACCCGCATACTTTAAATAACGTGCAGATACGTCATCTGGCCCCACAGCTTTCTTCACTTTTAACTTAAAGATCTTTCCCTCCATTTCCATTTGACTAATCGTGATGCTGGTCGTAGTCGGAATGTCTACATTTTGACGGCTATGAGAATGTAATGGCTGAATTTCATCTGCGGGGCCAATCAATTTTTCAGCAACTCACATGTGCAGAAATAATCGTTTAACATAGCTGCCTTTTCGGTGTCATCAGTTGTAAGGTTCCCATCGTCCTCTTTAATTGGTGGGCTTCTCTGTTCACTTTTGTAAGTAAGCAGCAGCCGTGTCTACTTCGTCAAATAAATTGGAGTAGTAATCGGCTTTGGCTTTTTTCATCATTGTTGATACTTTATTTCTTTTTAGAATAATTATGGTTTCGGATAAGCACTTGAGCATTTTTAACTCTTTACAACTGAACAAGGAAGGAATATCAAGCATATAAAGCTGCAAAATTGTTGATTGATAAAAACGTTACGGCTGAGCCCATACATGACCCCATTATACATTCTTCCCAAAATTTCGACACAATTTTTTCTTAATTTCTCCGAAAATATATATTAACAAAAGTAAAACTGAAAAAAGTAATCACTTCTAGCAGTATACAAATGTCTTGACAACGACCTCAATAAGTCCTAACGAGAAAGCGATTATTTCCCCTTACTATTACCTTAACATCTTTCTATTTGAAAATTTTAAGCTACTAGGGGTAATAATGTGAATATAGCAAGGTTGAAATATTTCCTTTTTCACTTTTCTTACGAAACCGAAAAATTAGATTTACCGAGGCAGCTTACATGCACCCAGACTATTTTTGATAAACGGCTTCAAATGTTTATACTGTTACGAAACACTTTGGCCTATTGTACTTATTGTAAGTCATGGCAAGCACACCAACCTTTTTTTTACATGTTTCACTTTATTTAGAACACTGTTTTTGTTGTACCTAACCGTGAACTGGAACGCACTAAAGCTGAGAAATGAGACTGATTTTATAGCCTTCAGTATCAAGCATTTTAATATTAGGCTTATATTTAGATATGCATTATTATTAGATGGATTATTCAGCTATTTGTATGATTTAAGTCATTTCTGACATTTTTGAATGAAGCTTACGTAGAACAGTACAAACAACTGCTAATAATACAAATTTACACTCATATTAATTCAAGTTTTAGTTCAGTTCTATGGATTGATCGAGTCACTTGCATGCATTATACTGAAATCTAAATATAGCAAGTGAGGTTAGTAGGGAAGGTTATAGACGGTTTATTAACAGAGTATGCACATTGTGGCTCTTCATCTGTTACTGGTATCTAGAAATATCTAAAGTTCACTATAAAAATATAATATTGAGAAAATTATCAAAGGGATGTAAGTAGCTAAAAAGAGGAGAAGGGACTGGACTGGAAACCACCACGGTGGGCGGGAAAATGAAAAACGGGAACATTTAACCTAACTTGAACTTTAGCCCCATCAGTAACTTCGTTAACCACATTTCTCCGTTCTCCCCGTGACATCCGCGATTAAAGTAGAAAAATAACACAGAAATATCTCAGGGCAACAAAACTAAACGAAATAACAAAACTGCCTAATGTACGTTTTTGGCAAAACTATTTTCCCACTGAAAATTAAAAAAAAGAGTAACTTTTTATTCCTGTTAAATTTTGTCACAATTAGTCAGCTCAAGCTAGTCACTCTCAAAAAATGCTGACAAATGATTTAATTATAGTAACGATTGATAGTTCGAAAATAACTTTTATCACCTATAAATTAAGTGCATGGGTTGCTCACCGACCAACAGTTCAAACAAAAGTCTCAGAAGAATCAAAGAGATATCCCTTAAGATTTTCAAGAAGTAGAATTGGAACCAAAGTTTCTTCGACATGGCCCTCGCTTTCGGATTCCCGACTTTTCATCCAACTAGGTAAGCCTTTCAAAATTATAATTTTTCTTCGCTGCAAGTAATTGAGTTATCAGTATCTAAGAGTAATTTTGTTTTCACATCGTTTTTTAGGGTCTAACACAGGTTTTTTTTGGTATACAGTATAATGGACTCTCTGAAATTGGTTAAACGAATACAGTGTTTTCTTTAGGTTTCGATATGTTGAAAAAAATTAGTGGATTATTTTCGTTTATAACCGATCAAGGTAAAACGAGAATTAGAAGGGAGAGGAGGCCAGGGGCGCGGGGAAGGGGGGGGAGTATTGCGGGGGAAATGCAGCGAAATGCCCTAGTGTTCTTCCCTGGTTTGGCCTCAATCCAGCTTTTCAGTGCACAGTTGTTTTATAGAAAGCTAATGAAATTCCTCCTTGCGAATTACCTTTCGAAAAATTACTATCCGAAAAAAAGGTCACTAGAGAGTACCGACCTGCCAGACAAGAAACCCCCTGGACCACTCTGATTCGTTTAATTTTTCTTATGACCTTATCCACACTTGACTGTTTGTACGTTTGTTATTTTCTTTCCAAGTTACGCGCATATCTTTTGGTTAGCTTGACATCTTTGAGGGCCACAAGTTTTCAGTTTTTAACTGGCTGTCGTCACGCACTGTAACTAAAGTTGATTATGATCAGAGATCATGATATTAATTATGGTTATGATTATGATTCGGTCCTAGAAACCCTTGCCTTAGCCTAAACTGAAAACCTTGCAACTTCGCCCAGTTTCTGTCGCTAGGGTCAGGGAAATAGGATCAGCCTGATGAGCTCAGTTAGGCGATTTAGGAACTGGATGGGCGATAAACCTGAATATCCTCACAGCAGAGTGCCTTAAAGCTTCCTATTCTTTCTCTTCTTTATTTCAGACATTTTCCTACTTTATTCGTTAACGCTTAAAGCAAAACAAATTTAACATTACATATGTATTATCACCACTGATTTGCAAACGCGACAAACCCAATGTTTTGTTCTGCCAGCGTCAGTCAGACAGGCGTTTAAATTCGGCAATTCAAAATTTCACGGAAACATTTTTATTTACATTGTAAAGAAAATCCGACTTGCAAATTTTTAAGGCAACTGAGATGTTTTGGTCCAGTTAGTCTCACCAACTCCAGGCAAAATAACAATTTTCTTTTGTTTCATTTTCAGCTACAACAGCTTCTTCAATCAAGTTGTCCCAGGTTATCGGTTTTTGCAAGATTTATGGAGGAGCACAGCTCTCTTCTGCGAGGAACAGGCTCGGAAGAGGAAACTAATGAAGACATATTCGGGCCCAGTCATAATTGCTTGGCTGCCACTGAACCAGTACAAACCAGAAGAAATGTCAATCTGTGTTGACGACGAAAACATAACGTTACACGGCCAGCATCGATCCGAAGGAGAAGATGGATTTGAGAATAGTGAGTTCATGAAAATCATTAAGCTCCCGCAAGACGTAGATCCCACAACAGTGACATCACATGTAACCAGAAATGGTAGCGTTCTAGTCCTCAATGGCATCAAACGCCTTGAAAAGAAAATAAAAGCAAACGATGACAAGTTTGTTGCTAAATTAAATCTGCGTGGATTTAAACCAGAAGAAATCAAGATCCAGAGTCGAGGAAATGAGCTCATGGTCATAGCAAAACACGGATCGGAGGAAGATGGTTCACGTGATTACAGGCGTCGCATTTTGCTGCCCGATGACGCAGACGTCAGTTCAGTGACGTCACACCTCTGCAGTAACGGCGTGCTAATTATAGAAGTGTCACGTGACCAAGCGTTCTCACAAGACGAGGCAAAACAAGAAGCAAGTGGTAACACAGAATTCAATTGGCGTGAATGAACCACGTTCACTTGGCAGATTGTACAGAATCACTCTCTACATTATTTTTTGAAATATTTATTACATTTCTTATTAAAGTTATAATTTTAAAGTGCAACCTCGGCATACTCTGTTAAACCTAGT